ATATCCTTCTGTCTCTTTGCCTTAGCATAAGGTCTCAAAAAAGACTGAATAAATGAAATATCCAAATGTCAGGTTCACTGGGAGATGGGAACTGTGACTTTAATTAAAAACACCAGAAGTCTGACATCTACAGTTTCAAAGAAACTTCTTCATGAGGGTGGCATATATATGATATACATAATTTAGGATTGTTCTGAGAATTTAACAGTAAGGAGGACTGTAATCCAGTGTCTGGAAGCTCTTCTGGGTGTTGCTTAATATTAAACTGTAGCTATTTAATATTGTCTTTTGATGTTTACCTTTCGATGCAATGTGTGACATTATGCAAAGGCTTGCATTATGCTTCCTGCTTGCTATAGGGTTAGATTAATTGCATTATACCTCAAAATTCTCATTAAAATCCAGGATCATTAGATATGAAGATATGAAGAGCCTATATGCCACTATTTATCTGTACTCTAAATATTTTAGTTTTATGGAAGTTAAATGTTATAGATTAGCCCAGCAAGCTATAGAGTTTTAATTTTTTGTTATTTTTTATGTCCTTGTTATGTATAGAATAGATACTATTAGTTCAAAATAAATTATTTAGTCAGACAAACAGAAACAAAAGACACTGATCTCCCAGAGGGTGCTCTCCATAATTTAGAATTTTATTTTTCAGTTGGATTTCTAAGAAATTGTCTGATGTGATTCCCTCTATTGTTTTTTCTTTTTTTAATCACCTTCTTTGTATTTTTTAGTAGGTTTTCCCATTTAAAGTGAATGTTATTGGGAACTAGAGCTTATGCTTCATTAAAAAAAATAGTACCTATTCTACAGTCTGATGAAGGGGTCATTAAAGCTTATGTGTTTTCATGTTATGTAACAGTAGTCCGTTGATACAGTTAACCAACTAAACAAGTCATGCTGATATTCCATTCAAAAACGCTTTCTTTCAAGCCAAGGAATAAAGGAAAATGGGATGATATTGAGACTCCTAGGAAAGTGACACTAGAATATAACTAAAAGATGAGGAACACAGGTAATGGTTTTGCAATGGTGTCAGAGTGGGATTGGACTCGGAGTAACGAAGAAATCTCAATGTGAGTATGGTCGTTCTCATTTATTGAATATTTTCAAAGAGTATATATAGGCTTACAGCAAAAGCATGCATAGGCAACAACATTACAATTGGTCCAGCTCCCTTGTTCACGCGCAACGTCCCGCAACTAGATTGGCTAAGGCCCTCTGTCCACGCACCTCTTGTTTTACTCTTCTCCCAGCTTATCTTGTCCCAAATTCCATTCTGCTTAGCAGTTTTTTTCTCCCTTTTAGGGCAGCCAAGGGGGGGCCAAGGACGTTGCACATAGGCCTCCGTGCTTAGTTCAAACCCTGGGTTGCTCAACGGAATTAAGTTATGCCCTTTTTCATTCAGGAATGTCTCCACAAAAGGTCAGCTCAAGAAATCCAGACAGCAACTCAGGAAGAGGGCTGGGGCAGGCACAAAGTGCTTCTGGTCACAAGGTTGGGGTGAAAACCTGCGGTGGAGCAGGTGAGGGCAATTAAGGCTGATTAATGCACTCAGGGTCCTGAGTCCTTACAACTACACTTTACAGAGCATTTATTTATGTCTGGTGATTAGGAAGGAAATACAGACAAGTAGCTTGAAAATTAAAAAAAAAATATATTTAGGTTTAGTCTATTTACTTTGAAGATAATTAAAAGCATGAGAACTTTATAAAAGCAAAAATATTTTGTTAAGATATATAGTTCTTAAAATTTAATTTTAACACTGAGGTTTACAATTTTTCAGGATAGATTTGGAATGGATTCCATTTAAAGTTAAGACAGTTAATGTATACATCTAAATGTAGGAATCAATGTAAGCTACGTTTCTGAACCCTGAACAGAGTCTGAAGTGTAGATTCAATCTATGCAGTCTGGACTTCATTCATGGTCATCCATTTTGAAGTATCTCATAATATCTCAAAACTTCCACACACTGATTAACAGATGCAATAAATTTAACATTTTTATTTATATTCATTCTTCTCACCTAGTCTACTAATTGTTACAAGTATGTGATGTGTATCTATAATATCTATTTTATATATACACATATATATTTATATGAATCGCTGACCATCACTGTGTGGGTGTGACAAGAGTTGTGGCAGGAAGTTTTTGTGGACGTTTGTGGGGTCTTTGTTGGGTCTTTGTCAGGGCGAGTGCATCTGCCACAATGTTGTTGTGGTTTAACTCCAGCCAGCAAATAGACACCACACAGCCACTCGCTCACTCTCTCCTCAGCAGGATGGGCAGAAGAGAATTGGAAGGATAAAAGTGAGAAAAATTGTGGGTTGAGATAAGAACAGTTCAATAAATAAAATAAAATAAAAATAATACACACTGTATGAAACAGAAAATAACAGAGAGAGAGGAGCAAAACCAAAGAAAGACAAGTGATGCAAATGAAAGCAATTTCTCACCTCCATCCAACCGATGCCCAGCCAGTCCCCTAGCAGCACCGCCTGGCCCCCACCAACCTCCCCCCCTTTTTTATTCCTGAGCATGATACTGTATAATACAGAATGTCCCTTTGGTCAGTTTGGTCAACTGTCCATGCTGTGTCTCCTCCCAGCTTTTCTGGCACTCCCAGCCTACTCGCTGGCAGGGCAGTATGAGGAGCAGAAAAGGCCTTGACTCTGTTTAAGCACTGTTCAGCCATAGCTAAAACATCCCTGTATTAACACTGCTCAGCACAAATCCAAAACATACCCCCATATTAGGTACCATGAAGAAAATTTCGTCTATTCCAGCCAAAACCAGCACACATGATGTTTGCTTAGTTCAAACCCTGGGTTGCTCAACAGAATTAAGTTATGCCCTTTTTCATTCAGGAATATCTCCACAATTCCCCCTTCTTCTTTTTGAGTAACCCAGGCTTGATTTACTATTCTTCCTAATTCTCGTTTAATACAACTTAAAGCTAAGCAAAGGCAAATGCAAATTATCACAACAACTATTAAAACGCTGTCGTGGTTTGGCCTCAGCCAGCAACACAGAACCACGCAGCCGCTCGCACAACTCCCACAGTCATGGAAAAAGAAATCGTCAGGGCAAAACTCGTGGGTTAAAAGAATGTAATTTAACAGAACAGCAAAAGAAAAGATGAAAACGCGATTACAGTACGGTGAAGCACACGGACCGGACCCGCACCGCTGCAGCCCACCCTGGAGTGGTGACTCCTCTCCTCCCCCCGGCTAGCTCCTCTTATAGCTCGGGCATGGGTCACGTGGTATGGAATACCTGCCCCCTGCCGGCTCCTGGGGAGATTAACCCCATCCCTGCCGGAACCAGGACA